CTACTGCTACTGCTACTGCTACTGCTACTGCTACTGCTACTGCTACTGCTACTGCTGCTGCTGCTGCTGCTGCTGCTGCTGCTACTGCTGCTGGTGCTACTACTACTACTACTACTACTACTACTACTACGGCTTCTTCCACTACTGCCCGACCACTACCAGCTCATGACGATGACGACGACGAAAACTACTGCTGATTATGCTAGGTACCACGACTGCAGAGACAAGTCCAAGAACAGTTGAAAACTGGGGCGGCATGAGCCCCAAACAGTACTTCCAGGCTACTTCCAGTCCCTTCCGCCTACGGCCACCCCAAATGATCACACCACACTTTGGCAGGAGCACGAATCGCTCACCAAGCTATGCACGAAATATGCACAAGGCTGGATTCGGCATCTGCAGGCACAAGGCGGGGCGGGACTGCGGAAAGCACGCTAGTTCGGGTCGACATGTGTACCGCGTCACGGCAGGAGCAGAGCGAGCGTCGCAGGCCAGCGATCTGCGGCGTGTTTACGGTGAATATGACATTTCTGTAGTGTTACCACCACGCCACATACTGCCGCACTGTTTGTGAAATAAGGGTCTTTACAGTAAGCCTGCTCGCATTCCGTGTCCGGAATTTTGCTTGCAGGCCTCCGCACCAAATGGCTCATCTGAGCTTGTCTGAGATGCGCCAATTGATGTATAGGTCCTTGAAGCACTGCCGGAACACGTGCGCATGAGACGGTGCACCAACAGATCTGCTTAGGGAAGTTCCAGATGCTCACGGCAAGAGCAACCGTTGCCGCAATCTTCTGCACGGCTATGCCGACGGAAAGGCACCTGCCAAGATGCCAAGCCAAGCCAATGCACAAATGCAAATAGTGCATGATGTGCTCTGACACCCGTTCGCGAGAAGGCTCGCAGTGTTTAAAACTCGATGGAACACAAACTTCACAGGGCACCTTCCACCGAAGAAGCGCCGTGATGTGGCCTCCACCGCCAGCACCTCTGGAAAACGAGATTGCGAAACCACGCTGGGAAGAGACTGCTGTCAAGGGAAAACTCGGCAGCATGCAGACTTCATGTTCGTGCTGATACACCCGCCGTCTGCAGCCAAGGTTCTCGCCAGACCATGAGGTGCTGCATCCAAATCAAGGTGGCGAGGAACAAGAGAGTGCGAACGATGATTACTCCGTAATAATCCTTGTAATAATCTGCCCTGTCGTAGCTGCTTAGCTCCTGCCAGGGCGCCTTGCTTCAACCAGGAGGCAAGGCAAACAGCTCTTTGAGGAATTAGTTTTATGTCACATTATAATAACCCTTTTTTTGAACGAGGTTTCTCAGAAGCTGAACCCGAAACCCTAAACCCTGAACCCTACATCCCTATATTCCCGGCTCCTGTGGTGCAAAGATTTTTTGCATCGTCCCATAGGCGCAGCCGCTCTTGGCTCGCTCGTGGGCGGGTAGAACGGTCGCCACCAGGCCCTGAAACCAGCTCAGCAGAGCCAGGCCTCCAGTTACTTATGCTTCAAAGGGTATTAAAAATAAAGTTTATTGTACCATAGTATTGTGTTTCAACACAGATTATGTTGAAGTATGTTATAGTGTTGTGTTGAAGTAGATCATTGTAAGCTAAAGTCTATTTAGTATGTTGAAGCATTGATAGTATATTGTCGTATATTAGATCTGGATGTTTGCTTACTTGCATCCAGAACAGCACTATTTTACTGCATGCACTGGATGCAATCTGCTCTTTATCGTTTCTGGGAAGTTCAGGCTTAGGCGAGATTCTGTACGCACACAAACGCGGAGTTTGGCTACAGCAAAATGGTTGCAAGTTGAAAGGTTGGAGTCTGCATCTTGGGATCCGAAAACAGAGGTAAAGATCTCTGCACAGATAATCGAACATACATGTACAGCTTCGAGCACTGTGGGCTTAAGTACAGCATGGTTCGGGCATATCAGGCACAATGCATCACCGCAGCGCCTGAAGCCGACAGGACGTGCGCCGAACCACCAGCATTGCGAAACATGAGGCAAGCTGCAACACCTGCGACGAGCTCACGGCCAACAAGCGCATCTGGCTCTCCAATTGTGACATGCCCGCCACCACTGTATGCCTTCTTGTGCCGCTTTTCATGCGCTCCCTTCTCTCACCCCTCAGACATCAGCAATACCACACCGACGGTGGCAGTGCACCATAGCAAACAGCCATGCTGATACACCCGCAACGCAAGAGTTTGCGAGAGTGCGATGTAGAGAGCCCGAGCCTGCAAATGTTGCAACGCACAAGATCAGGTAGAAGCCGATGTGGTCGACCTTACACGTGTATTACCGGCAACTTACAGTATACGGCCTGCTGCTAGAAAGTGTCATACCGCGTTCAGGGGTTAGGGTTAATGATTACTTACGGGCAACGGAGAGCGGCAAGTGTAGGCAAGCAGCCGCATCGCAGCCAAGTTTGTCCACATACACTGATGGATTCTCCCGGCGCCATAAAATGGTTGCCTCGTGGTCCCTGGGCGCCATGACCACGGCGTAAAGCGCCGTGACCTGCACAGCCGGTAGAGTCTCGTAGTTTCGTGCTTATGTCACCAGGTCGCTGGGTTAAGACGAGCTTCACTCCCATTTGCGGACTGTACTTGTCGGCACAAGCTGCGACCAAGAATGGCTAAGACTGTGCTGCCGAAGCACGACAAGCACCATGGTAGTCAGGGCCAAGAACGACAGCCAGTCTGCGAAGTGACCTCGTCTGAACAAGCCGATGCCAGGGACTGAGAGAAAAGGAGCAACGGCAAGCTTTCAGCATCAAGGTGCTGTCGCCCAACTGCAGCAAGGTCCTGGCCGGCGAACGAAAGCAATATTGTAGGATACTGTGTTATAAAGCCTATATGAATACCAACGATAACTATGTATATACAGGCATGTATACATTAAACAAGGTGAGCATTTGGTCGTCTTGGCAAGATCCGTAGTCCTGACTCCGATGCTCCACTTCCGGACGCCGAAGGGTATTTCACCCGAGGCGTTAGAAATTGCAGCCTGGGCGGTGTTTACGACTTGCACATGTACAACCCGGAGAAATATCCAATGCATGTATGTAATGTAATGTAAT